ATGGGATTGACTATCACATTATAACGCCCCCACGGCGGAAAGGATGAGCATATTCGGTGACGGAATTCGATCCCTGCCCATAGTTTGCGAGTCGAGCGCACTAAAACTAGGGCCTAGGCCATGCCAGGTCAGTGATAAAATACAGAAATGTATATATATATAGTTTTGAGAAAGGACGTACTTGTTAAAAATCGCTTTCAACATAAATCAAATCACGTTTCCAGAAAAGTGTTTCAGATGCCGTCAAACATTTTAATAAAACTGTGTCCAAAAATCCTTGTAACATCTCAAGCATAGTGTGTAGAAGTTGCCTATACTAGATTTTCTTCAAACAAAAAGGAAAGTAATACAGAATCAAATAAATATGCCAGTTCTAATGGGTTTACCTGATTCAGAGTCCTCGACTTTTTTTTTTTTACTAGTTCCATTGACATTACTTAAAGATGGCGCTGAAAACGCTCTTGGAAAAACTACGAACGAAACCGGTAGCTTTTGGGGCGAATAAGAAACTACCTTTTGACATGAAATCTTAAGAAAGCATATATAGTTGTGTATTAATTCAGAACATCTGTTATTTTTCATGAGAAAACTGAACAGACTATTAGTTGCTTTTTACAGCTTTGCATGATTCAAAAGAATTCGGTAAAAAAAATATCGAGTAAATATTTATTTGCAATGTTTCAAAATTTCAGACCCAAATTTATGAAAACCATAAAAAAAAACATATTATATACATACAAGATTTTACAACGCTATGGAATAACACAGTATTGTGATGTTTTTATTAAAACTCGAGAAATAAAGCTAATCTATTTGTAAAATACCAGGCAGGAACAACTGATTGTATGAAACCTCACCATTCCAAAGGTGAACCTTCGCTCGGAATCCCCTATATGCGTGGGAGAAGTCTGACACAAACTTCAGTTTGATTTCATTGGTGGTACTCAAGTGACGTAGATGTTTGAGTTTCGACGTGTAGTCTCCACAGTACTCCATGACTTCTCCAGTTTCATCGCCATCTTGGACTTCCACGTAATCGAATGCGCAGCTATAAACATACAAGATATAGCGATATATCGTTCCAAAAGTTGATGTATTTAAATTTATATGACCTGAATCAATAAATGCACCAATTATTTATCAAAACATCTAAATTGTTACGTGTGCTGTCCCATTAGTTATCATAGCTCTAGATATTCATCACCTCAAAAAAAAAAAAAAATTAACAATTATTGATGTAATTAATATTTTACAGTTAAACATACTGTCATCACAGTTTTTAAGGCTAAAGTCACCTGGACGAAATTTGCTGAACCATTGTTGACACTTACGAACGTTCAAAACATTTCCATAAATTATTTGTGGCTACAGAGGCGTTGTTTCCCTTCTTGTATTCAAACAGCAATACTAAACTTTATACATTATATAGGCTACACTAACGTGACGTTTAGGTGGTTCGTTTAACTATTATACGTGATTTACGTATTTTTCTTTTTTTTTGGGGGGGGGGTGTTTAATGAAAGTGTTCCAAAACGCGACATAAATTTCTTGACGACCTAATATCTTAATCAAAGAGGTATCTGTATAAAAGGACCAATACAACGATAAGTATACACTGTCTATCAAATTTATCCTGTATTTTCAATTCCTGTATCATACGTGGAAGAAATAATTGAAAAATTAAGAGCAGATATGAGTGCACAACATTTGATATCTAAAAGTACAATTCTTCGTCCTCAACAGGTTGGGAGAAAGTAGTTTTCCTACTGATACAGAATTATAAAATGAAAACAGGTTACTTCAAAGACACCTATATAAATGATAATTAGAAGCTTTCTTGAAATTGGCATTCAGCCCACATGATAGCTTTTTTTGATGTTGAATTTCGTGCAAAGAAACTTGAAAGCTGTCTGCACTAGCCGTTCCTAATTTTGAAGAAATAAAAGCTAATCAACACTACCCACCGATAACTCATGGGCTGTTTTTTTACCAACGAATAGTGGGATATTATAACGGCTCCAGGGCTGAAAGGGCGAGCGTGTTAAGCGATAGGTTTACTATAACAATCACATACCAATAATAACAGAATATTGAAACCTATGATATAAAAATTAAAAACGGAATGATTAGTCAAAATGAAAAAAAAACAAAAAAAAAACACGAGTTAGACAAACGAAAAGATAATTTTAGTATTTGTTTAACATTACTTGAATAGTCCCCACATGCTTTGTTAATTGTAAGATTAAGAAATTATTACAAATTTGGAAAACCGAAAAAGAAAGTTTCGAAGAAACTAGGAAAACTCTAGAAAATGGAAATAACATCAGGCTAATTTTCGAATTATCGTAATGCTAATCGCTTAAGAACTTTTTTTTATTGCTTGTGTGAACAACTAAGTCTGCTAAACAACCAAAGGGATATCTTTAGGTCATATTATTCAAATCAAAGAAGCTCAGGAAAATGGCGGTAAGGAAAGATTTCACCAAGACAGCTGGTTAATGTAAGAAACTATCGAGCTTCACAAATAAGAAAAAAACAGATCACAGCATAGGAATGATAGGACTAATTATGAAAGAACTGGAAATCTTCAATACAGGTTTATAATAATAAAAGACATGGTTTGGTTCATAGCATCAACTTGTAGAACACTAAATTGCAACAAAAAAGTGTTTCGAGAGCAAAATAACTTTCAAAAATCTATTAACTTTTTCACTTCCACGGGGGGTCTTCCCACTCCAGAGCACCGTCACGGGCTTGTATATGGGACTCAATACATAGCCTTTGTTTTAACACTGTAAAATGTGATATTACATAAATGTTCCGATAAATAGTGGGCAACAAAACCAATAATCTTATATGTAATTAAAAATTCGTAAATGTTTCGTATTATTTTAAGAACAAAATCATCTGTAAAACATTTATGCTGATATGACTAGTAATAAGTAGGATATAAGTAATTATACAACTCCACGTATTTCTGTGAGTATCTAAAAATAAACTTAGCACTGCAAATTATTTATCTATAAACGTGTCATTGAAAATGTTAATTAACCCAGCTCTCTCTCTCTCTCCCTTAAAATGTTAAATATCTTCAAGCTGATAAAATAAGATTGTTTCACTCCTTGCAATAGAACTAATGACTTCGAATTATAGAAGGATTTTAAGGAATTCACACAACGTTTTATATGAAACTCATTTTTAGACTTCAATCTATTTTTCAGCCTCGTAAAGGACACGAAACTGTACTTTTATTTATGATATATATAAAAAGACGAATTTTAGTTTTTAGTCGAAGACTGAACATATCATCTGCCAACATTTAAAAGGCAGCAATAAAGTAAAATAGTGGGATGAAAGTACGAAGCACTTGTATCATACTATACATAACTCTGATTTCTATATCTAATTTGTAGTTTGATTAGTAAGAACGGTCGGTCACACGTGATTCAATATACAGTTTCCGTTTTGATGATGGTTCTCGTTGGACTTGAATGGAGTATAAACTGTCACGTTGGATTTGAATGGAGTATAAACTGTCACGCTGGATTTGAATGGAGTATAAATTGTCACGTTGGATTTGAATGGAGTATAAATTGTCACGTTGGATTTGAATGGAGTATAAAGTGTCACGTTGGGCTTGAATGGAGT